AGGGTCAGAGAGAGAGGGAGACACAGAATCTGAAGCAGGCTCCAGGCTCTGAGCTGTCGGCACAGAGCCCGACGCGGGGCTCGAACCCACAGACAGTGAGATCATGACCTGAGCCCAAGTCGGACGCTTAACCGACTGAGCCACCCAGGCGCCCCTAACTAGATCATTTTAAATGACGATTAGTACCATGATAAAGGAAATTAGATAAACAGAAAGTGGCAAGAGTGGTGACTTCTCACTTTAGATCCGAATAGTCAGCAAAGACTTTTCTAGCATGAGATGAGACCTTGCTGGAGTAAAGGAGCCAGTCATGTGGAGATCACGGGAAGAGCCTTCTAGGGATAGAAAACGGCACTCCTCAAAGGCCCTAAGGCAGTAGTAAGCCTGTACATTTAGGATCTAAAAGAAGACACTGGCATTTAATATCTTAGAATTGGTATTATTTATCCTCAGACTAGGTATGTGTTCTTTTAGGAAATAGGTACATTTATTCATTCAGTCTACAGATATTTATTAAGCACCTCTTACATAACCAGGTAGCGAGACTAGAGTAGCTCACAAAAAATACACAGCCTTGCCCCTCTGGGAACGTATATTTTGGGCGCAAGGGGTGGAGGGAAGTCCAGTGTTTTATGCTCGTACTTCCACTTCAAAAAGTGCAACTATTTCCACAGCTCCGTTTGTGTTCGATTTATAGAGCATGAGATGTATGCTTAATAGGAATCTAGGATTCTGCAATGTGTCCGGTATTACCTGGGGGAAGTGTTTGACAATTACAATTTCACAATTCCCTTTGTTCTTTTATTTGTGCTCTCCAAAAAGTCTTGAGAATATCCTCATTATGAGTATTGCACTTTGATCCTCTCTTTCCTTCTTTCCCTTTATAGTGTTTATATGTTTTCATAGAAAAGTAATTGCTGAGATGTCTGCATGATCACTATTCAATAGAACTTTATGCTGTGGTAGAATGTTCTATATTTCTACAGTTGTTGTTATAAGCTACTAGCCTCACATGTTATACTTGAGGACTTGATAGAGCAGGTATAGATAATGAGTTATTGTTATTCTGAGCAATAAAACTGGGAATTCTGATTGTTCTTTCAAAAATATTCATCAACAGTGCTTTAGTGCTTGTTAACTCCAGCCAGGTGCTGGAGACTGAAGTAGACAGCAGTTATCAGAATAACGTGGTTGATTCCAGGCCAAAATGCAATGATCATAAGCTTTTGATGTCAATTTATAGTTAGCTATAATTATAGTCCATCTATCTGTATATATGTTTTTGCAGTAAAGTCATTTGGCTCCTTTATTTCTCGTGTTTTGTCATCAGAAAGACCAACCATTGTTGTCTCTTAGATATCACTATTGGCAGAATAAGAGAGAAAAGGACTGAGCTATTCATCTGTGTTACCTTGATCTACTCATATAGTCATCCCAGGTCTGTTTCCTCATCCTAAGAGTAGAGTCTGCAAAAAGGTTAATGGATTGGGCTCACCTGCCCTGAGTTTTTGTTACACAATGAAGCAATATGGTTTAGTGTTTTAAAAATATGGGCTGTAAGATGTAGTTTCAAATTTTAGCTCTTAGATTAAGCAGGTTACTTATTCTTGTTAGGCCTCAATTTTTTCATGTGAAATATCAGAATTACAAGTGAACCTATGTCAGAGATTTGTTGTAAGAATCAACTGAGAAAATAAATGTAAAACAATGCTTTGGAAATACCAGTTAGCCATGGTTAATCTTGTTGAGTTTTTGTGTATCTTTCTCTTCCATCATCTGCAGATTTCTTTTCATTGTTCACTCAACACAGAGCTGAGTTAACAGTCGCTGTGCCCTTTCTCTAAAGAAATTCCAGCCAATCCAGCAGCAGCAGCAACAGCTTTTTGGATGAATGGAGCCCAGTTATCTCACCTGTAGGAACTTTCACTAATTTAGTTGCTTGAGTAAAGAGATGAGGAAAACTGGTAGTGTTTGTAAATAATTGGTTAATTCTCTGAAGAGGAAAAAAAGGGGCCTTGAAAAAAACACAGAAGGCTTAGGTTAGGCTTGCATGAGTTTTGAGGCTTAAGGGGGATGCTATAAATCTATGTATGTTTAGGAAGGAGCCTCCCGAAGAGAGTCAATGAGAAACATTTCCTCATTCATTATGTCTGTGTTGGCTGTGAGACAGTTTTTCTAGAGATCTAGTTGATAGAGGAAAAGGAAAAAGAAAGATGTCATTGAGCCAGGAGAGAATTGCTCCTATCTATGCAGTGAAGTATTATTTGGCAGTGAAAAGGAATGATGTACTGATCCATGCCAAAATATGGATGGACCTTGGCAACATGCTAAGAGAATGAAGCCAGTCACGAGAGAGCTCATTATATGATTCTATTCATAGGAAATGTACAGAATAGACAAACCTATGAAAACATAAAGTAGATTAGTGGTTGCCTACAGCTGGAGAGGTTGCAGAGAAATGAAAAGTGACTGCTAGTAGGTGTGGGCTTTGTTTGGGGGTAATGAAATGTTCTAAAAGTGATGTGATGGCTACACAAGTTTATGCATGTTCTAAAAACACCAGTAGGCTTGGGACGCCTGGGTGGCTCAGTCAGTTGAGCATCCAACTTTGGCTCAGGTCATGATCTCACAGTTTGTGAGTTTGAGCCCGGCGTTGGGCTCTGTGCTGACAGCACAGAGTCTGGATTCTACTTCAGATTCTGTGTCTCCCTGTCTCTCTGCCCTCCCCTGCTTGTGCTCTCTCTCTCTATCAAAAATAAGCATTAAAAAATTTTTTTTAATAAAAATAAAATACCAATAGAATTGATTTTTTTTTTAATTTTAATTCCAGTGTAGTTAATAACATACAGTGTTATATTAGATTCAGGTGTATGGGATTGTATACTTTAAATGGGTGAATCTTGTGGTTTTGAATTCTATCCCAAGCTCTTACTGGAAAAAAAAAAAAAAAAAACATGCAGAATTTAGAGATCTAATTGGTGGTTTGTGGGATGCTTGTGATAGTATTGGTTTCATTGAATCCCCAGGTCCTGTCTCCTCCTCTCTGGGCCCCAGCTCTTTAGGTGGCTGCAGGCCTAAGTGCAAAGCTATCTGCCACCTGCCGAAGCAGTTCTACCACCTGAGTTGAGATTTGGGTCTCTCTGGATGACTTGGTGAGATCCGAAGGGCCGGAATAGTTAAATTGGACCTGTGGATCAATGAAGGAGAATGAAGAGTACCTAAAAGCTCCAGGAATTCCAGGGTGGCCAGGCACGTTCCACGATGCACAAGTTTCTGACATGGAGCCAATACTGATCTACTTATCCCAAAAGTTCTACCCTTGCACTTCCTGCCGGCACCTACCCTAAGAACAAGACACACATTTCCTTGTGCCCTCTTCTCCCCTGCCAGAAATCTCCAGTGCTTTCTTATTGCGATATATTCAATCTAACCCTAGTTTCCAGCGCGCTGTTTCGTGACTTTAGTTTTGTGTGGTAGCTGTCATGGGTAGCTTTGGAACCAAAACCCTGGGGCTGAACCCCACGTCCAGCTGGTAGGTGGGTTCAATTACCTTTATCGTTACTTAATCTTTGTTAGCCTCAGTTTGCTCATTGTTAAAACAAGGTTTATTTGCTACTATCTACTTTAAAGAGGAGATTTTGAAAATTAAATTAGACAATCTATGTGAAATGCTTTTCATTTCACAGATACGCAATACACGTTGGGTCATTCCTCCCTTTCTATGCTGTCTCCCACTTGTCCCCACCATGAATCATCTGATCCAGGGTTGACTGGCACCCACCCCTTTCTTTGAGAAATGACACACTGAGTTTGCCCTTTGCGTATGTTCTGGGTCTACCCATCCCAGGCTTCATGTCTTTGCCTTAGTCACTCTCCATACCAGTCATGCCCAGTATCCAGATCTTCTGCTTTTGTTTTGTTAATTCTTTCTAGATAGGAGCCATAGTGAAATTTCCTTTTCCCAGCCTCTCACTTTTGCCTGCACATGACCTTTTGCTGATTTACGTTGCTTTTGCTGTTTTACTTTATCCACTCTTCTAAATGACACACTTGAATTAGGCAGGTTCTTTATGTTTGTTGTTTTGTTCGCTTGCGACTCCCTAGTGCCCATTTGATGCCAGGCATGTAGCTGACTCTCAGCAGAGAGCTGCCGGACAAATTGCCTGCCTGCAACTTTGCAGCCTGCAGCGTGCTCCGTGGAAAGATGGGCGTGGCGTTGAGTCTGTGCTGGACACAGTCCTGTATGCAGGGACACCCTTTCCATCCTTTTTTCCAAACCCCAAGAGGTGTGTGGTGTGTGGACTGAAGAAGAAAATTCCTTCTTGCCTCCTTCCTGTCGCGGTGCCCCAGCTTTGCTTCCTGTCCTGATGCCAGCCTCGGGAAGAGGAGAGCTGTTCTCTTTGCTCTGTTGGAAGGTGTGATGAGCATTTTATGGAACGTTCCTTTTTTTTTCCCCCCTCACTTGTCAGCCGTGCCTCTCTCAAAGTGGACCTTTCCTATTAAAATTGGACACCCGCTAGTCATATATTCCTAAGCTCTTCCTTTGTGTGTTAAATTAGATATGGTGACATTTCTGGGGACACCCTGAAGTTTGTGTACCATTTAATAGATATGTAAATAGCTGTTCTGTGTCGGGAGTTGTTTTAAATGTTGGAGAAAGAAAGATAAATAGCATGTGGGCCCCGCTTTATAGTTGCTTGCAGTTCAGTTAAGGAGAAAATATATAAGCAATTAAGAATATACATGTAAAAGGGATTTGGTTACTTCCGCTTAAAAGTTTTCAAAGGGAATGTACAATTTGAACCTTATTTTAATTGTTTAACATGACTGTGTCCTTTGAAAGCCAGTATTTTTGAAAGCCATGAGAATTTTTCTATTTGATGTGTCCCTTTGCTATATTTCAACCCTGTTAGGTTAATCAACCTCCCAGATTGATAACTTTGAAACTTAGACCAATGCTTTAAAAATACAATTATGTGACTTCTGTTTTTTAGGTGACTGCTTAGGTGACATCTGATGAAATTAGTGAATAAGTAAATCAGCTATGTCTTACACTCCGGGTGTTGGTGGTGACCCTGCCCTACTGGCCCAGCGTATCTCTTCCAATATCCAGAAGATCACACAATGTTGTAAGTAGAAATTTAAGTTGACATCACTGTGTTTAATTCTTAAAATTGGGTTCATAACAGGACAACTCCAGTGACTGAGAGCAGGAACAGATTTTAGAAGGTTAGAACTCTTAAAATGAAAAAAAAAAAAAAAGAAAAGAAAAGAGAAAAAGGCCAGAACTCTTTAGAGTGAATACAAAAGACAATAATATTAGAAGAGATAACACTTAATTGCATTTTCCTGTAGAGTGCCAGGCACATAATACACTATTTCATTAATGAAATAAAACTTTAAAAGGATAGATATTTGGGGGACCTGGATGGCTCAGTTGGTTAAGTCTCCTTTTTTTTTTTATGTTTATTTTTGAAAAGAGAGAGAGAGAGAGAGAGAATGAGTGGGAGAGGGTCAGAGACTAACAAAGACAGAATCCAAAGCAGGCTCCGGGCTCTGAGCTGTCAGCACAGAGCCTGACACAGGGCTCGAACCCACAAGCCATGAGATCGTGACCTGAGCTGAAGTTGGATGCCCAACTGATCGAGCCATCCAGGTGCCCCCGTCCTACTCTTGATTGCAGCTTAGATCATAATCTCATGGTTTGTGGGATCAAGCCCCTTGTTGGGCTCTGTGCTGACAGTACGGAGCCTGCTTGGAATTCTCTGTCTCTCTCTCTCCCTCTCAAAATAAATAAAAATAAACTTAAAAAAAAAAAAAGGATAGAGACTTATATTTGCTTTTAAACCATCTGGTTCTAGATGAGACTAAAGAGACTTGTTGACTAAATTCCCTAGGTTTGGAACTGGGGAGCCCTACAAAGAGTTTACGTTTACTTAAAACAGGGAAAGGGAAAGGGAACATACATAGTCTAAAGGACTGTGCCCTTAAGGAGCAGGGATTAACTGATGAGGGGACGTTTCAATCCATTGAGGCAGATCTAGAAGATAACTCAGGGTTCCCACAAACAACTGTGCTATACCTATCAAACACAGTGCTACTAGACTAAGCCCATGTAGCATTTTATTGGAAATTATTACTCCTTGGGAGACAGATACAGATATAAATTTTTTAAAAGATCACTGTAGCAGATTTGAGCCTATAGTTTTTTTTTGTTGTTGTTTCACATTTTGTTTCTGAATCATAGCTAATCACATGAGGACTATTCTAGTCACTTTGTAGTAGTCAGTATTCTGGCCCTTTGGGCATTAACTGAACTCTCTTTTGGAGTGTGTTAATACAGTGTTATTCTTTAGCTTACTTAAAGTTTACTGCTCTCTTTACCAGAATGTGTTAACACACTGTGAAAATACAGAATGTTTCCAGATGACCAAACCATGTGTTCTTATCTAATCATTAACTTCCCAGAAGTTACTACTCTACCCAAGTGATTTCAGTGAAATGTCAGCATGTTTTGGAGGCAAAAGGATTAAAAGGATTAGATTATGGCACTAAAAAAGTGCTGTTGTGCACAGCGATATGCTATAAAAGCCAAAAAAAATAAGAATTTTTCTCTTTGTTAGAAATAGTGCTGGTCTGCAGCACCTGGGTGGCTCATTCAGTTAAGCATCCAACTCTTGATTTTGGCTCAGGTCATGATCTCGTGGCTGTGAGATCAAGCCCCATGTCGGGCTCTAAGCTAAGCATGGAGCCTGCTTTGGATTCTCTCTCTGTCTCTGTCTCTCTCTCTCTGTGCCCCTCCCCTCCTTTCTTTCTCTCTCGCTCAAAATAAATAAATGACGTTAAAAAAATATATATATTGCTGGTTTGCCTCAGGCTAATGTGTGAAAATTAAGAGAGACTGTAATTTTAAATTAGATGTGTGGAAAAGTCAGGACCTTTATGCAAGAAAGGCCAGGAGGCCTTACTCCAGAGGACAGTGCAGGTCTTCTGTGCTGGGAAAGATAAATGCATTAGGAATTCTAGGAAGAGGAGGAAGAGTGACTGTGGGCTCTGAGATTATAGAAGCAGTAAGCACCTAGTGTATGAAAGATACACGGATTGGAGATTATTTGTGAGCTTGAACTGGTAGGAGGTAAGAGTTCACTTAAATCAAGTCATGTTCCCGAGAAAGATTGATTGATCTGCTAGATGGGAAGTGATAAATTGAACAAGAGTTGCATACTCCTGGCATAATTGATAGGTAAGTATGTGACTGCACTGTGATTCAGGGCAGCTTTGGTGTGTGGGGAGGGTGGTGGTAAGACCCACAACTCTGCCTTGTGGAGAGGGGCCAAGAAGCCTGGGACCATTTGGCCGTGAGAAACCACAGTGCCCACCTTCAGCTACTGAAGCACGGTCTTGTGTAAAATACAAGAAATGCATTCTGCGTGATCACGAAGGCCTTCGCAAAGGAACAGAGCAACAGTAGCCAGACGTCAGCTCTAGGAGGAATAGGGCTTTTGAATAATCCTGGTTATTCAGGAATGGAATGGCTACCCTCAGGAGGAGTGACTAGCACGTGGTGGTCAGATACTATTTCTCAGGTCTGGTGTTGAGAGGTTTAAACACTGGAGTAATGGTTCCAACTGAGTGACTTGTAATTATGATATTCTGCCTTCATTCAGCAAATAATTTATTGAGCACCTACTACTGGCCATTGTACCAGACCCTTGGGAATCCAGCAGTAAGCAAAGTCCACAAGGCCCTTTTCTCATGTGGGTCGTAGTGTAAGGAAAAGCAGAGGGTTAAAAAAAACATTAATGAACAATATGGTTTCCTGTGATGAAAATGAGCATGCTAGAAGAACAGGTGACTGTGGGGAAGCTGCCATAGCTGAGCTTGTCCTCTGAGGGAGTGAGAATGAGAAGGCGCTGATAGTGAGAAGATACAGGACAAGAGCATTTAGATGGAGCCAGGGAGCTGGCAGTAAACTCCTGAAGCAGTCCACAGCTTGGGGTGTTCAGAAAATAGGAAAGAGAAGTCCAGTGTGGCTGGAACACAGCACCTGAGGCAGGAGTGGCTAGAGAGGAAATCAGAGAGGAGACTGAGCAGGCCACCCAGAGCCTCAGAGGCCGTCTGGGGAGTTTAGGTTTCATTCTAAGAAGGAAGACACACAGTCATATTGCTTTGGCTGCTGCTGCTTAGAAAATAGACTTTGGAGAATTTGGGGTGGGGACACGATGGCCATCTCTGGGTCTGATGAGGGAGGTGTTGGCTTGTACCAGGGTGGTGGCAGTGGGGACAGAGAACTGATGGATATTCTTTGGAGGCAGAGCCAGCAAGATTTGCTGCTGAGTGTGGGTGGATTAAGAGTGAAAGAGGGTAGTCCAGGGTGCCTGCATGGCTTTTGTGTTAAGCAACCAAGTCGACAGTGGTGAGTATATACTGAGGTGAGAAGGACTACAGTTCGGAAATGGGGAGAATTTTGTTTTGGCTAAGTGAAGTTCGAGATGTCTTTTAAAGATCTAAGGGGAGATGCCAGACATCTAGTTTAGATACATGAATTTGGAGATCAGAATGATATCAGAGTACAAATGGTATTTGAAACCGTAGGTCTAAAATAATCACAGAGGAGTAAGAGAAGAGAGCTGGAGCATTAAAAAATGTAGAAGCCTGGAAGGCAGGGAGAAAGTGTGAAGAATCAGAGTGACCAGTGAGGTAAGAAGAAAATCAGGATATGGTGGATTTCCAGAAATCAAAAAAAAAAAAAAAAAAAAAAAAAAAAAAAAAAAGGGAGAAGGAGTGACCCTTTTTCAATTAAAGAGACTTCCTAGAATCCTACTCACCTCTGCTTGTGTTATTGATCAGAGTTTAGATACAGTCACATAGCTACACCTAGCTGCTAGGAAGGCTGGATTACAGTGTGTTCACTAAAATTAGGTCTTGTTCCATTTAAGAAGGGAAAAACCAGTATTTAGTGGGCAACTGGCAGATTCCACTATGGAAGTAGAAAGAGGGCCAAAGAAGTGGTTGCATTTTTCCACCACAAAAGAGAGAATCCAGTGAGAGTATAATTGCAAAAGAAAGGTCTCTGAAGGCGAGAGGGAGAGGGAAACAGATCACCAGTGTTCAGTTTGCCTGTCGTCCACTGTACAAGTCCAGGCAGAATGTGGGGTGGACGGTAAGTGTGGTGGGCAAAGAAGGGAGAGTTCCTGTCTGAGTGAGCTGTTCTTAAATGAACTAGGAGGCAGAGGTATCAGACAGGGAGTGGGATGGAAGGCTGTTGGACGTTTATGGAAAGAAGAGAAAGTGATGAGTTGTAGTTTTGACAGTTGAGAGGATTGACATACCACAGAGGTAACGAAGGGTTGTTGGGCAGGTTGAGTACTCATTTGAGACTTGGGGTCTTGAATTTAGTGAAAACAATCATCACTATGTATTGTTTCTAATTCTGAGATTCACTGAATGAATGAAGGGAAATTTAGATTAGGTAGAGTTAGTTATTGGTAAAGATCTAACCTACCAGCCAGTGCACATCACCGATAAGGACTATGGAAGTGAAAGGCAGAAGTGTGAAATTTCAGTTCATTTTTTTCCCATCTGGCAATGCTAATAATACCATGATTGAATAAGATGGTACTTTGCACCACATTTAGGTGTTTCTCTTTACATCTGTGTCTTGTAAATTTGTGTCAGTACAAATTATCTACTTGTAAAAAAGAAATCTCTGGAGAATATACTGTAAGAAGGGTAATACCCTTGTCGTTAGAATATGCGCATCTGTTCAACCAGTGCTAAAGTCTTCGTAAACACTTCAGTGGGGAAAGTTTATTTTCATATTAATTTTGGTTAAGATCAGTGAAAAATTATAAAATATGAACTTGTATAGTTGAGTTTATAACAAAAAAATAGCAATCGAAAATTTTTGATTCTTGGAGGGATCTAAGAGTAACATATATGAAGATTAGAATTTTTTTTAACTAGTGTATTCTGACAGGTCTCTTTTGCAAAGAGTAGAATAGATGAAATACAATGTTTTTAAGCTTTTTTTTTTTTTTGCCTTAAGGTAGTTTTTGTTCAAAATAATCTGTAGTCTTATCAATTTGCTTTGCTAGTAAAGTATTTAAACCATATTACCATAATTTAA